ATTTCCCTCAGCCTCTTGAGGCCCCACGCAACCTCCCTTTGCTTCTGTGAAATGCTTGAGCGTGATCATCACCAGAAAAAACTCTTAGGAGACAACCCTCATTCCCAAATAGACCTTGACTCTCCACAGGTCAGGATGAACATGCATGTCCTAGCAAATGCACTCCTCACATGTTCATACAGTACCAAACCAGGGCTCAAATTTGATCCAGAGGGGGTACACAGCTGGAGAGGGGCCACCAGCTCCAAGACAACTGCTTTACTTCAAGGTTTAAATGTACCCTCAGTTTCGGATTCAGAAAATAAAAGCCAAACCTGGATGCTCATTTACAGAAGCGTTAAAAATCCTCAACAATGTTCACAGGTGTAAACTCGAAGCGGACAGCATTTGTCTTGTTTTTTGTCTGTTTACACAGCATCGTGGAGATCTAAGGTATCAGCATATGTAATATTAAAGGGTCATTTATACAAAATGGTTTGAGTAAGGACTTAATATGTCATGTGAATCAAAGAAAAGACCCAGTGTTGGTTTAGGGGGGTGTAGGTTGGTTCATGCATTTCACCTGAACCATGTGCACGTGAGAACTAACTATATTCATTTACCCTGACAAGACACTAAATGAACAAAACATTCCAGCTTGCATTTGCCAAGTCATGCGAAGAGACTCAGTTATAGGACACCACTCCCTGCCCCCTGGGGATCAACCTGTGAATGAGTTCTTAAGTCTGAGTTTTAAATCAGTAGCGCACATGCTCAGTCTCTTGCTCTGCAATGAAGGACTTCCTAGCGAGCAAAGTGCAATGCTGCATCTGGGGTCTTGGCTGCATAGCTACAGTCCTACAGCGTTTCTTCTGTACCCTTCATTTAGAGAGAACTTGCAAATACTAGACTACGTTAAAGCTCCAAATAAGTGATCCAACTCATTCAAATGAATGCAAGTTACAGCAGTGAGGTCCACATATCACGTGGGATGCATCAGGTGAGCCACGGGACCCCTGGACTGAATGATGTGCATGTTCCCCAACTGTACCATGCCATCCAGGCACTCAGGCCCCCACCCTCAGCTCTCCCCACTGCATCACATCATGCAGGCATCCCAGCACCATGGGCTGTGCCATGCCTCCCTGACCCCTAGGGTAGTGGCAAGAAGCAGAAGTTAGAGGAGAAAGGAGGAGCCCCAAGACCTGGATGCTGCTGCAGCTGAAGCAATGAGAGAGCAACGAGCAGCAGCCAGGTGGGAGCCAGGGGCTACAAATTAACCCCTCATGGGCCACATGTGGCCCCCTGGCCACCAGCTGGGCAGCCCTGGTTTAAATGGTTTAGAAAGAAAGGGCACTGGAACTGGAACAAGAGGCAAAGCGAAGTCCTCACCTGTAATGAGGTTCCGGACGAGTAGTGGCTCATCTTCCTTGTAATATTCCAACATCCCCTGGAAATCCTTCTCCTTCCGTTGGACAGTGACTTGCCTGGTAAGCTCCTGTCGCTTCCTCTCAGTCTGTACCGTTGCTTGGGTTGCTGTGAGGAAAAAAAACCCACAGACCTCTCTGAAGCCAGCTGAATGCCTTATCTACACAGGACTTCTACGATTCACTTGTGACCCAAAGCCCACTGATGTTCTCCGAGTCTCTCATTTGATATCCTAGCTTTTAGATTAAGCCTCACGTGACCTTGCAATATACCAGTTTGTTAGCAGGTCCCCTGCTTTTGATAGACATACTGAAATAGCAATTCTTGAACCACACCTTCAGGCAGATTGCTCATTGGCTAAGTAAAGGATACAGAAATCAGGTCTAAAATACTAGAAACACTAACAAATCTTAAATCTATTAAGGGAGCCCAGACAACCCCTGGAACATGGTGACCCTATTGGAGTCATTTTACAAATGTACTTCTCCCATTAACAAGAAGTCAGGCTTTGGGAAGATATGCCTGAGCTGTTTAGCTTGCAGCAGGCTGCAAAGCAAAATTAAAAACCTCCTGTGGAACACTACTGAGGATTATACTTGCATAAAATTTTAATAAAATGAAAGATTATGAAGGCATAATGCACATAATGTACTAAATGTCAGTCTGAGGCCTCTAAATTACAGTGACAAAAGCCATCTGTGCCAGCTGCACTACTGTGGAATTTCCTATTTATTCAGCTTAGTTTCACTTAATGTCTAGTTTTCAGAAATTAGTTTAAAGAATCCAAGCACCACAGTTAATCATTGTATCAACGGCAGAAGATAAATGGTCTCTGTGCTACAGAGAGGTCTTGTATTTGTCTCCTCAAGCCTGGATCATTTCTTCCCAGAGCCTCTCTGAAATATATCTCTATGGCATTGACAGAGCAGAGCTTTTTACCAGTAACGTGAGTTTTCTTCCAAAACACTTTATGGGCTCAAATGTAGACTGTAGTAAAAGTCAAAAGGCTTCTCAGATGCATTAAAAGGATTGCTTGAAATCCCACAATCTGTACCAACTGCCTTCTAGCAAGCACTGATCATCTATCTTTGCCTTCCTCAATTCTGTGAGCCCTTAGTCTTGCATCTGTTCATTTGTTTATGGCCCTTCGGAAGAAGATGAGCCCAACAGGGACTGATTGGAAGGCCGCAGAAATCAGTGCAAAGACTTCAGTCGAATTTGTGAAGAAACCACCCAGTTGTCTCTGCCCCCAGGTTTAGAACAATAAGATGAAAATAGTTGAAGTTATTTTAAATAGCCCATACTGCAGTTCAAGGGTGGCCTGTGGGCTCAAAAACTTGGATTCTGATTCTGTTCCCTCAGTCTACTGAGTTATTTCAGGCGTATGCTGGGATGATCAGCCCAAAAGCCAAACCTGATTCTTAAAGTAGCAGTTCTCATGCCCATCCATTTGGAGAGCAGATCACATGCATTTGTCTTACTTCAAGTTTCTCTGGCTTACAAAGGGCATGGAGTTCTCCCCCTCCCCGAACAGAAATAAGTAAGGCATTGCACCAAAATGGAGCCAGACTGAACAGACTCACTCCTGGGGGCTGCAGCAGACTAGAGCCTGCTTCTTTTATGCAAGTATCACAGACTTCTGATTCCTTGTCCTGAATAATGCAAAATGGCCTGATCCCTGAGAGAGAGATGCGAGAAAGGAAGCCTTGCTCTGACAGACTGCTTGGGGAACAGACTGGTGACTAGTCTGTAGGTCAAAGCAAGGAGATGCAAGGTGCTTCTGACAAGAGCATTTGCTTTTTAAATTGCATTCAATCAATAAAGACATAGGTCTGAATTAGATCTAAGAAAGAGCCTAAGGAAGATCTGTGAACAGGGTTCCCAGCAAATGCTTTTGTCACTGTCACAACAATGCCCCAAATCCCAAATGTTGCTAGGAAGTGAGAGCTGGTATCTGGTTCTGCATGCCTGTACATTCCTAACTCCTCGGATCAGGGCTGATCAGATAGGAGAGACTTTGATTGAAAAATCTTGCTGTGTCAGTGGCCTGTTATCTAAGGCAATGTAACAGCAATAAAGAAAGCTCCTCAGGAGCCTCTAAAGAGCAAGGGTCCAAAGGGGGTGTACTGAACAAGAACTGCAAAGCAAGAGGGTACTATCCATGCCCCAAGCACCCCTCGAGGATCCAGAATGCCAAGGCAGCAATGACAGGATAAGCTAAGGAACCCCATTGTAAGGCTGGCCAAGGAAACCTCGGGCCAAAAATGGAGATCTCTCTCTTTTTTTTTTTTTTGAATGGAAAGAAGTCACAAGAAACTGCAGGCAGCACGGTTCAAAAACCCATTCAAGTTCAGCATACAGATGCAGCATGCCCACCTTCAATATTACAGGTGAGCTGCCACCTTGAAAGCTCTCGTTTCATCGCCTCCCAAGAAGCAGGCTCAATGGCTCGCGACTCCCAAGAATGATTCCCAGGAGGCAAGAACAGTGAATAAAAGGAGGACAGCAAGATGAAGGGAGCCAACAGGCTTGTCACACTTAGCAGGTTTGGAGGCCTGGAAAGCTCTTCTCTCCCTCAGGTGAGGTGAAAAGAGCTGAAATGTTTTAGGATCAATAGCCCTAAACTGATGTCTCCTCTGACCCAAGTGTGAGGCATCACCGTAACCTTGCCTTCACCAAATTGTAAAGCTTCCTTATTCAACAAAAACCATCAGTGAATTTTCTAATCTTGCCTGACTCTGCAGAAGTCAATGGACTTAAAGGATAAACCAGTCCTCAGTGTAAAGGGGGGCACAGAGGGGAGAACTGGGGGGGGGGAAGAGAGACTACCACAGGCTGCACAGGCACATTTTTATAACTTGAAAACTAAGGCTCAAAAATGTTTGGTTGGAAAACCCCACTTCAAAGCCGCTACCCACTTTCCACACGTTTGACATGGAGAGATGCATGTCTAACTACCTATCTACAAAAAGCAACACAGGGGATACTTCAAGGTCAAGGCAGTTTTGGAGAGGAGCCAGGAGGTGAAAGTCTGCTTTTTCTATAGGCAGGACGTAACTGCCAGGCAAAAGCATCCAAGGCCTCCTCCAAGTCACAGGACATATGCAAGTTTCCCCATGACACATGGTAACATGCCAGACACTCAAAAATGTTTTTCCCTCCCAAGATGAATGAAGCTGCCCTACCATAAAAATGGGACATCCCCAACAAAAGTTCTCCACGGGGGGAAAAAAACCCAGCCCACCCAGCAGGTCTGGGAGCCAAAATCTTCAAAGGACTCTCCAACTGCCTGATGGCCAGGGGGGCTGGGCCCTGGGCTACTAGCATGCCCTTTAAAGTTCCCAGCATGCTCCAAAAATAACCTTGAGAGGCTGAGAGTGAAGTCTACAGTGTCCCCAAGAGCGGCTAATGGGGCCCACCACAAGCGTTGCAGTTTTGTGGGGGTCGAACAAAACCCAGAATCTAATCTTAAATTCCACTTCCCTCAAAGAAACCAACAAAAACACAGAGCTACCTTCAAAATCTTGGACCTTCTTCATGTAAATCTTCAGCTGTTTCTTAAGCTTCTTCTCATTCTTTTCCAGTTTTTCTAACAATTCTTTGAGATCCTGCAAAACAGGGAAAGGGTTATGTGCACATGTGTACACACACACACACACACACACACACACACACACACACACTTCACAAAGCTTCCTGTAGGAAAGTAGCTGGACTATGGAGCTCATCTGACAATTATTTTTCCCAATGAGAGACTTTTGTACTCTGACCAGGAGCCCTGATGTGTGCAGCGCTCTCCAGGTCAATCCCTGGGTCAGAGACAAAGCATCTGCCCTTCAGACCTGTCAAATCCATGGCAATCTGTAGAGCCCTTGGGCCTTAGACTCTCCCACTACAACAGGGGAAGTGGCTGCATGTACAGGGTCAAAACAGCGCTTCTTGCCCACTGTTCTGAGTTGGGTTTTTGTGAAGTACTAAAGAGTTGAAAAAATTAGCCCAGCAGCATACAAGCAGCACTTGAAAATCAGCTATTGATTTCTCTTTGCAAGGTCCATCGCAGTCAATACCAGCCCAATTTATCATGCCCTCTGAGTTGCTTCTTTGGTGTACACATAGGACAAGCAAACTTGGAAGCACTGTGAGAGGGGAAGAAAAAAGACAGCATTTGGGCTGTTTTTTTTTTTTTTTTTTTTTTTTTT